TCATTTATTTTTAATTTCTTTGACTAATTATGAGTTTGAACCACCGTTTAAACATTTATTTGCTGAGTGCAATTCTTTCACTGAATGTCTGCTATACTCAGTATAGTCAACAAACATGGAGTTTATATCTAGTGCAAAAAACAAACAAAAATTTCCCAACAGCAAATAAATAAAAAGTTTAAAACCATTTAAGAAATGAGTATTTCTATGCAAAACAAAAAATGCAAATAGTAACAAAGTGAAACCAAGGGACACACAGTGAAGGGGTCTAGTCAGAAGAGATGGAATTTGAACAGGGAATTCACTGTGCCATGTGGATTCTTGGATATGAAAAAGCATGTATAAAGCTTCTGATGCCAGGCCACATCTGCCCAGAGAACAACTGAAGAGAGTGGTGGTAGCAAATGAGGTTGGAGAGAGAGCAGGAGGCTAGAGCAGCAAAGGTCTGTCTTGCAGGCCCTCCTCATAAAGGCTTTTTTAATTTTTTTTTTATTTTTTCCTCAGTGTTTTGGGAAGTCATAAAAGGGCTCTAAGCAGTGGAGTGGTACAATCTCATTTACCTCAATTTGGCTGTAGGGTCTATAAGAGGAAGCAGCAAACTAGCAAGGAGACTAGAAGTGAGATGAGCAATGATATGATGACTCTGGAGTAAGAATGCAAAGAGAGAAAAATAATTTTTCAGGATTTATTATGAAGCAGATCTGCTGATGGATTTGATGTGTGATGTTGGAGAAAAAGGAGTCAAGGACAATTCTAAGGCAAGTGGGTGGTGCTATTTACTGTGACAGGAAACACTGAGGGAATAACAGATTTATGGGTGTGAGGGTAAAATCAAGAGTTCACTCTAGAAAGTATTAAAGTAATATAAAGTATTAAGTAAATTAGATGGATCTTTCTGAAGACTGGTCACAATTTTAGTGTAATTTTTTATAGCAGCAATTTATGGTTATTTAAGGACAAAACTAGAACAAGATTTGAGTGTTAAATTATCATTCTGAGCTCAAAAGCTTGGGACATCCAAGAGGAACAAGTAGTGGACTATGTGAGTCTTGAGTTGAAAGGGAAGGGTTAAACTGAAGACATAAATTAAGGAGCCTTCAGTCATAAGTAGAATATAAAGTCAGGAACTGGGGTAAGGTCCTCTAGGGAATGAGTATAGGTAGAGAGAAAAAGAGGCCTGGGGCAGGAGGTCCTCTACCTATTTAGAGGAACAGAAGGAGGATCCAATAAAGCACAGCATGAGATGGAAGGGAAACTAATGCAGGACCTTGTGTTTGTTACTGAATTGCGTATATTTTTCTTATATTCATGATTTTATACTTTGTCAGTTACAACCACTACAAATATTTTCCATTTTTTATCTGGTTCAGATTATTTTTCACTTATTTATTTAAAAATATTTGTTGTATAGTAAAATCCCCTAGTCATTTCCTTTATAATTTCCCTTATTACTATTAAGGTTAAAAAGTCTCCAAGTAACTGTCAGTGAAAGTACTGTATTCTTTTTAGATTATACTTGATAGTGTATTTTGACACATTATACATATATGGAATATAACTTTCCATTCTTGTGGTTGTACATGATGTGGAGTTACACTGGTCAAGTATTCTTATACAAAAATCGAAAAGTTATGTCCAATTCATTCTACTGTCTTTCCTATTCCCATCCTCTCCATTCTCTTCATTCTCCTTTGTCTAATCCAATAAAGTTCTATTCTTACCCCACTTCTTATTTTATGTTAGCATCTGTATATCAGTGAGAACAAAACATTCAGCCTTTGGTTTTTTGGGATTGGCTTATTTCACTTAGCATGATAGTTTCCAGTTCTATCCATTTACTGGCAAATGCCATAATTTCATTCTTCTTTATGGCTGAGTAATATTCTACTGTGTATATATACATTTTCTTTATCCCTTTATCTGTTGAAGGGCACATAGGTTGGTTCCATAGCTTAGATACTGTGAATTGAGTTGCTATAAACATTGATGTGGCTGCGATACTGTAGTATGCTGATTTTGAGTCCACTGGGTATATGCTAAGGAGTGGAATAACTGGGTCAAATGGTGGCTCCATTTCAGGTTTTTTGAGGAATCTCCATACTGCTTTCCAGAGTGGTTGCACCAATTTGCAGTCTCACCAGCAATGTATGAGTGTAACTTTTCCCCATATCCTCCACAACATTTATTGTTACTTGTATTCTTGATAACTGCCATTCTGACTAGAATGAGATTAAATATCGGCAGAGTTTTAATTTGCATTTCTCTAACTGCTAAAGATGTTGTACATTTTTCATATATTTGTTGACTAATTTTATTTTTTCTTCAATGAAATGCCTGTTCAGCTCCTTTGAGGCACTTGTATTTTATTTCTAAGTTGGCTTGAGTGCACTTTGGGATTTATTTTGGTTTGTGGTAAAAATCGAAAACTTTTCAAAGATTAGCCAGTTTTGAAAAATTAATTCATTTTAATTAGGTATATATGATAGCAGAATGCATTTTGATTCATTGTATACAACCGCAGCACAACTTTTCATTTCTCTAGTTGTACACAATATAGTGTCACACCATATGTGCAATCATACATGTACCTAGGGTAATAATGTCCATCTCATTCCACCATCTTTCCTGCCCCTAAGCCCCACCTCTCCCTACCCTTTGCCCAAAGTTCATCCATTCCCTGCCTCCCCACCCCCAATGGATCAGCATCCACTTATCAGAGAGAACCACTTGGCCTTTTTTTTGAGGGGGGGATTGGCTTATTTTGCTTAGCATGATATTCTCCAACTCCATCCATTTACCTGAAAATGCCATAATTTTATTCTCTTTAAATGCTGAGTAATACCTAGGCCAAAGTTAGGCCCAGGACCATTCCCCAACTGGCAGATAGATTTGCCAGTTTTCCCATCTATTAACTCTATTTTTTTGCTCACTGATCTGTGATGTCTTCTACTTCACAAATTAATTTCATTTGTCTCAATTTCAATTTTAAGCTTCAAAATTGCAAAAGATATGATGAAAAACCTTTCTTCCAACCATCAAATGAACTTTATACAAATAATGTGGTAATGAGAAAATGTGCTTACTTGGAAATATATAAAAAAAGAACCAACATTTTGTGAAAGAAAAATGCAGGGAGAGCAGGCTAAACAGAAGAAAATAAAACCAAGAAGTGAGGGAAAGGAAAGGTATAGTCCATTTCCTCTAGGAGAAAAAGATGTTAAAAAAAAATACACCTAGTAAGTATTTGCTCAGTGTATTCCCTCTACTAGGCACTGCTAGAAGCACGAATGAATTATGTAACTTCTGCTAGTGATGAATGCTATGAAGAAAATAAAATTGGGCAATAGGATAGTGAATAGGAGAGAAGACAGGCAGGGAGGTCAGGATAGTAGTGGCCTCTTTGAGAGGATATTTGGATATAGCTCTACTTTGGAAGAGGCATGAGAAGATGGGGGTGAAAGAACAGTTCTAGCAAGAGGCAAGAGTTAAGTGCAAAGGTCCCCCAAAAGAGCAAAAACAGAGGGTCAATAAGGCTGTGGCACAGGCAGGAAGAAAAGGGAAACTAGGAGATAATGTAGGAAGACTGGGAAGGGCCACCTGAAGAAGACTGGATCATTAATGGCAATAGGAAACCTTTAGAGGGGTTCACCTGGAGGTGTGACATGATCTACTGTAAACAGAGATTCCTTTGTTCAATGCAAATTAATTTGGCAGAGAGTGGGCAAGAAGGGACTCCAGCCAGGAAGATCTCACATAAGAAAAGAACCTAAAATACGTTTTCTTTTAAATATACGAAAGGTAAATGTTTGACATAATGGAGGGAAAATACAAGTGAACAGACTGTAAGATTCCTGAAGGTAGGGATTTGTGTCTGATCAGTTTACAGGCATCTCCAATGCCTAAAATGATCAAAATCTGGCACTCGATAAAAATTTGCTGTATTAAATGAGCAAATTACTACAGGAAACAGTTTTTTTATTTGTGAAACAAGACTCAAATGAAATAAATAGAAGAGAGCTTCAGAGAAGTCTCATGGGTTGTGAAGTGTGTCAAAATATGGGACAGATTTCAATCAAGGCTGGGTAATTTTAAATTAAAATTACACTGCTTTTATTGTTACAATAACATTTAGCCACTCTGCTGTAAATGTCTTGCCCTTACTATGAGTTCTTATGAGGCAGGTATTTCAACCCTCCACATAGCAGAACACATTGTGTATACACACCCCATAAATGTAAACTTAGACTGCTGGTCTACTGAAGAAAAGCTAGCAAACACAGGCAAAATGTTTAAGGAAGAAAATTCGGACAACTTGACAGCATTTATCATTACTAACATTTTAGTCATTCAGAGTAAACTTCAAAATTACCTTCTAATTTGAAATAGTTCTGGTTTGACAAGTTAACTCTTGAGACATCTGAGTAGAGTATTATGAAAGAACAAAACTGTTCATCAACCCTTTATGCCAATGTTAATTTCTTTAAAAAAGTAGGATTTTAATGTTTTTTATTCCTACAGTGACCCTTAAAATTTCTACGTATGCAATCACAAATGCACACACAAGATGCATTTATAAGCTTATTGGGTAGTTCTAAAGACAGTTGGGAAACCCAATTTTAATTTTGTTACTGAAATAATTTAAAAATATATTATACAACAGCTTCTTTTCAATCAACAGCAAGAATCTAGAAAGAGATTATACCAAGTAGGCACAATTTATTCAGGTTTATTAGTGTTCAAAAAACGAAGTTGCCTAACTTCAAGTTGTAAAAAGTACTCTTATATTTATTTAATTTTTCATCTTACTACTGTCATAAAAACACCATTTTCTTATGCCTGAAATAAGCTTACATAATTTATTTAACAAAGAATCATTATGTACATTAACCACTGATATGCTAAAGTCTGGAAAATAAATTTCTGCAAATGTGTAAAATTTCCTGATGACGACTGAGATTATGTTTGTAATTTTTAGCTGTCATCAGAGGAAGGAGACTTACCGGCTTTTGTTCATAAGGTCTGCTCCCCGTGCTTTGTAATAATCTAGATTGGGATGGAACTGATAAGTCACTGGTCTTGGATTTTTCTAAAAGGGGAAAAAAAGCAATAAATTAAAATGTATAATGCTATTTAAATTATTCATTAACATGTAAAAGGACAGAAATGATCATTTTTACATTCCTTAAGAAAAATACATATAATAATGAAGTTTAATAATTAGTGTGCTTGAGTTTTGCTTTTATTGTTTAATTAAATTCTTCTATAACTCCTCTTATTCCTGATTAAAACTGACAGTTTGACATATTTTTATTTTTGCCTGTCTTATAGTTCAAATAGATTTACTTCTTCCATTAATTTTCAATGATTGTGATCATTTTCAAATATGACTTTTATTATGACATAAAATGATATAAAAACCGAGAAATTGTATGAGAAGTAACGCAAGTACAAACTATGTTTAAAAGTCTTGAGAATGCTCATTGTGGAGGAAGAGCAAAAAAATCATTAGTTTTTGTTGGCCAGAATGCTAAGTATGTCCACTAGATGGCACACTGAGTCCTTCTTCATCCAGAATAAATAAGTCATTTCAAAACTCAAGGATTCTTTTAAAGATGGCAATTTCTATGTCATCTCTTCTTATTTTTGAGTTTAATAAGTGCCTAAAATATGCCAGGTACTGGAAATAATAAAAAGACAATACTAAAATGACTGATGCAAATTGACCAATGTACATTTTAAAAGCAGCAAGAACAGTGCCCTGTCTGGCATTTAATATTATTTATAACACCATAGAAATGTCCTTGAATCATTAGGTTGGGTGTGCCTATTTAAATGTGTTGCTATTGCTTAATTGTGTTAATTATTTAAATGTACCAAGCCCCTTACAGGTAAATAAAAATTAAATATGTCTACTTTACAAAAACAACATATTTACAGCATAATTTAAACAAATACTATCATCTCTAATATATAAAATCACGTACAGTTTCCTTAAATTTTTTAAAAAACTTAGAAAAAAGTGTTCTAATGTTTATCTGAATATATAATTCAAGTAGTAATTGGGTCTTTGAACCACAGCATAATCTGTCTTTGAGAGATCTATCTAGACACAGAAAGGCTATATTTTATATTCATTGAAATTACTGATATACTTAGATATTAATCCTTGGAGACATAATCCCAAAGCACTGATAAACTTGTATGTAGGCATGGGGATAAGAGGGGGATGTAATTGCTAAGGTTAAATAGTTTGAAATTCATCAAGCTAACAAGCTGCATCTTAATGGCCATGATGGACCTTTTCTTTTTCTGCTGAAAAGAGAATATTTACACAGCTCAACCCTTTCATATCTCTTCCATGCCAGCCCTAATCATCTGACAAAAACGATAATCCCTTGATTTAGCTCCAGCTACTACTCCACTGGTTTGGTATTCAACACAGTTCTATGATAATCAAATCTGAATTGCCTTGATGAAGATAACTGATGCTTCCATGACTACCATACTATTAAGTCTAACAGTGCAACTTCTCTCTAAGAATTTCATAGGTTTCCTCATGGTAGCTGATGACAACCTGGACCCAAGTATAATGTGAAAATAAAACAGAGGTTAAAGCTCCTGGCAGACTGACAGTGCATTCATGATTTATTTTAAAAATTAACTTATGAGGACTATCACTCATGACTAATTCTGCTCTTTATTCTCAGTACCTAGAAACACATTTTATTTTTACTAATCTCAAAAGCTTTTGTTCTCTAATGTTCAACAAACTAGTAAAGAATTATGCTACTTTTTGCAAGAAAATAATGAAAGAAGGGATCGCATGGAGTAGTTCTTTTGAAAACATCTTTATGAAGAAATAACATGCAATTCAAGACACGATGTGCTGATCCACCTAAGCACTTAAAGCCATTATTAGGAAAAATGATTTAACTTGAACATATGTATAAAGCTCAAGTATTGCTTTCACTGAGACCTATTTAAATTCCTAGGAGACTACTGGTAGCAAAGGGAGAGAGGTAAAGCACCACTGTACTGGAAACAACAACAAAAAGAATCAAAAGATGATGCTGAAAACAGCATATAAAATATGAAGAAAATGTTATATCTAAAACAAAAATATACACATAGATAATCTAGACAAGCACTATTTAACAGAAATATTATGTGGGTTAAAGATGCAAACCTCATCTGTAATTTAAATTTTTATAGCAACCACACTAAAAAAAGAAAAAGGGAACAGATGAAATTGAATGCAGTATTAGTTATATAATAAACTTTATCATTTTAACATGTAATCACTATAAAATTTATTAATGTGATACTTTACATTCTTTTGTTTGTACAAGGCTTTGAAATCTAATGTGCATTTTATACTTACAGCAGATCTCAATTTGGACTATACACACACTTCAAATATTGAAAGCCACATGTGGCTTGTGGCTACTGTATTGGTCAGCACAGAGCTAAATGCCTGAAGTATCAATAAACCATGCATAGCTGTAAAAATCAACACATGGACATGAACAAAGAATAGGGTGTGAATACTTTAAACATTGAGATTCATCACTGATGGTTCTTCAGATTACCTACAATTTTTTTAAATTGATGGCTATCTTTTATGAATAAGGTTTTAAAAAGTCCAGAAATTCTGGAATACTTTCTTATATGAACAAAAAAATTAAAACTAATAAGTTCAAATAATTGTTAAGAATATTTGTATAAATGTACACATGTAGGTAAATGGATAGACAAATGGGAATATGCACCAAAATGAAAATATTTCCTTAGGGCAATGAGATTACATGAACAAAGTTTTACCTTTAAAGTCCTATGGGCAACAACATTTCAATATTTTAAGTTCAAACTCATTTTGTTATGGTAGTGTAAAATCTTCAAGTGCTAAATCACACTAAGAATAACTAAATACAGGATGCTGTAAGAAGTACAATTAACTACAAGATTGTACATAACAATATTCCTTGTTCTGAGACTGTTTATATATATATATATATAAACGTAAAGAGATCTTAACTTTTTTATTTTAAAGGATTTTTCTCAAAATTTTATAGACATTTAAGGTTTCTTCTTTTTAATTTTTAAAAATCTGAAAATTTCCTCTAAAATATATGAGTCACTAGAGTTCTACATACACAAAATTGTATAAGTTAGGAAGACCAGATCCCACAGGTGTAGTAATTTCTCATTGTGCAGAACACATTCACATATCTTTAATATCATGTCTTTATAAACCCATTTCCACATAATCAGAATTTCTGACCAAAATAAGCACTTCTAAACCAATGTACTTTTTTTTTTCCAGTGTATGTTTTTAAAGAATGTTTTTGTTTTGGTAAATTTTCCTTTGGAAGAAAGATGACAAAATGGTCATGGTTAGCTTACTGGGTTTGTATTGGTCTAAGAAGAATAGCAATTATATGATACGACATGGGAAGTCTATACTATCATACATACAATTGCTAAAATCATAACTTCAGACCCCACTGAAGGTTACTGTGTCTTTCCTAGACCAGACATGATAGGCTTGAGACAGGTCTTCTACACAGACTTCATCTAGTAACTTCCCAAATAATTATTCAACTCTTTTCCATTAAAGTTGTTACAAGTTACAAGCTTTCTCTTTGGTATTTTATTTTTTTAGTAGTATTTGTGGTACTGGGGATTGAACCTAGAGCTTCAAACATGGCTGAGCAAACACTCTACCACTGAGTTAAATCTTCAGCCCTTTTTAAAAATATTGTTTTTGAGAAAGGGCCTAAGTTGCTGAGGCTGGCTTGGAACTTGTGGTCTTCCTGCCTCAGCCACCTGAGTATCTGGGAGCATGGAAGTTAGCCATGGATCTTGGCTTCTCTCCAGCATTTTATTTTATGACAATAAAAGAAGAATGCTGCAAAATCCCACTCCTGGCATAAACAGGCTGGATCTTGGGGAGGGATCTTAAAGTCCTGTGGGCAACAACATTTCAATATTTTAAGTTCAAACTCACTTTGTTATAGCATTGTAAAATAGTCAAGTGTTAATTCACACTAAGAATAACTAACTACAGGAGGCTGTAAGAAGTACAATTAAATATAAGATTGTCCATAACAATATTCCTTGTTCTGAGACTGGTGAAATCAAACTTACCCAAAAGGTCATTACAAACAGTTCTTCCTAGCTTGAGCCCCTGACTCCTGTATCTCACTTGAAGATAATCTCCATTTAAATCAACACACAGAAGAAAGGAGTCTGAAATACTAATCCTTCTTTGAACAGCACAGGACTGTTCAAAGACTTGGCTATTTATGCATACATGTGGAACTAAAAAGAGGAGAGGAAAAGCAATTCTAGTGATAGTGATCTTCATGTATTAATGGACTAGTAGGAGATGATGTCATATGAATGTTATATATTGAAAACAACAGCACTAATGTAGACATAACAATGCTCATCTGCTCTAGAGGGACAGGGTGCCTGGTGCAAAGGACCAGGAGACTCCTGCTCCACCTATTATCAGCTGAGTGAATGTGAGGAGTTAATTACACTCTTAGATCTAGTTTTATCATCTGCAAAACTGTACCAAGGATTAAATGACAGAATAAGAACGAAGAGCATAGCACAGTGCCAGGCACTTGATAAAACCACATGAAAAAGAAGCTATAATCATACTGATATCAGTGAGCACTGACAAACAGACCTTGACTTGAGAGCAGATTTAAATTTGACAACCTAAAATCCAGGACACTAAAAGGGTAGAGAAAGTGATGTTTTACACTTTTGAAAATTGTAAATTTGCCAAATATTATATCTATATTTTTAAAACAAAAACACACACTTAGGAAAACATATCACACACACTGGATCTCATATATGGGGAGAAAGGCTGTCACATTTCTCTGAATTAGGAGCACATACATTTACAAATTTTTAAAAATGTATACAATCATACCATGCTAATAATGCAATATTTGCCAGCTTATGAGATTATAATAATCAGGGATTTCCTGAAATATGCCCAAATTATCATCATTTATTGGACATTGATTTTACTTTGAATTAAACTGACAAAGTTCTTTGAGTACTTAA